GGATTACTGCAGCCCTTGGATATTCCGGAATGGAAATGGGTCAGTATTTCTATGGATTTTGTAGTGGCATTACCGAGAACTCAGGCTGGTTTTGATTATATCTGGGTAGTTGTTGACAGATTGACAAAGTCTGCACATTTCATACCAGTTAAAACGAGTTTCTCCACAGAGCAGTTGGCTCGGATATATGTAAGAGAGATTGTGAAACTTCATGGTGTTCCTGAAAGTATCATTAGTGATCGGGACCCTAAATTTACTTCTAGACTTTGGGATGCAGTGCAACAGGCCTTCGGTACACAGTTGAGGCTGAGCACGGCTTATCATCCCCAGACTGATGGTCAGACTGAGAGGACTATTCAGACCCTGGAGGACATGTTGAGGGCTTGTGCCTTAGAGCAGGGAAATGCATGGGATAAATATCTTCCTCTGGTGGAATTTTCCTACAATAATAGTTATCATGCCAGTTTGGGCATGGCTCCCTATGAAGCTTTGTATGGCCGTAGGTGCAGGGCGCCTACTTGTTGGTCAGAAATTGGTGAGAGGCAGTTATTTGGGCCTGATATGGTCCAAGAGACTACCGATCAAATTATGATGATTAAGGATCGATTGAAGAAAGCACAGAGCCGCCAAAAGAGTTATTATGATGCAAAACACCGACCCCTTGAATTTTCTGAAGGGGATCATGTATTTATCCGTTTGTCTCCGACTACGGGTGTTGGGCGTGCTCTAGGAGTGAGGAAGTTGAGTCCTAGGTTCATTGGGCCCTACCAGATTATGAAAAGGGTCGGACCTGTGGCTTATCAGCTTGCCTTACCTCCACATCTGTCAAATTTGCATAGTGTTTTTCACATCAGTCAACTTCGAAAATACGTGCCGGATGAATCCCACGTTGTACAGCCGGACAATATCGAAGTAAGAAAAGACTTGAAGTTTGTTGTGGGACCGTTTAAGGTTCTAGCACGTGATGAAAAGGTGTTGAGAAACAGGACTATTCCCATGATCAAGGTACAATGGGAAGGATTGACTCCTGAGGACGCCACTTGGGAGCGGGAGAATGAAATTCTCCAGCGGTATCCTGAGTTTGACGTCAGGTATGTGTAATATTTCGTATTTGATTTTGTGGGCAAAATCCTTAAAAGGTGGGGTGAATATAATGACCCTATAGGGTAAATCTTAATTAGAGATTTAATTTAAGGATTTAAATGCCATAATTAGATTTAGTGAGTGATTTCGAGTATTTTGACTGTAATCATGACTATGTTATGAACAGTGCGTTCTGCCGGAGAATTTACAGTTTTGTGAATTAACCGGTAGAGCTTAAAAAGAGCAAAATAATTTTAGAGACATAATTTGATAATTCTGACGACAAATATGAGTTCAGAATGAAAAATTGTATAGTCTGGCACTTTCCGTGAAAATCTCGTGAATAGTGTTTTTACCGGGTATTTTGTACTGCTGTGTAAGCAACCGGTAGAGTCCAGAAATAAATAATTGATGAAATAAGAATAGGAAAGTCCAATATATGCCAAGCAAGTCAATATAGGCCCAAGAAAATGATAAGTTTATAAGTGTTAAGTTTCAGAATTAAACAAAGTACAGTTAGTGGTTCACAGTGCATTTCGTTAAAAACGGTGCAAAAACCATACTGTGAATTATGAATATTGTTCCGTAGGAAATAAAAATTAATTTAAATAACTTTAACAAAATAAAAATATATCTGTAGCTTTAAGTTAAGTTTCGGGTAAATTTAAGTGAAATACGCGATAGAAAAACATCCGACAAAAGGGCCACATGTGCCTAAATAGCTTGGCCACTTAAATGAATCACTATTCATTGCAAAAATTTCTTCTTCTCTCTCTTGAAGGGCCGAGCTTCAGCCATGGAAAAGGGGGGTTAGGGTTTTGCTTGTTTTGTTGATTTCTTCTTGAATTCTCAACCAAATCTTATGACCCACCACTTGAAATTGATTAGGAACCACTCAAGGAATCCATTGCACCTATCCATTTGAGCTATAGTTGAGTGTGTGAAGAGTTATTCCTCCTCTTATTTTCGGATTACTATTCATAGGAGGAGAAAAGGTGGGTTTTTGATGGAGCTTTGCTTGGAGGTTATTCTCTAGGCTTTGTACAAGTGATTAGAGGTAAGAAACCTCTATTTCTATGGTATTATTTTGTGATCTATGTTTTGAAAATTTGGAGCATGTTTTGAGTGGGAAATATTTGATGTTAGAAGGTGAAAATTATGATGAATTGTTGTTGGTTAGGAATGATAGTGTTTAGTAAGCATTAATTTGTGATAAAAAAATTGAAAAGCCCTAGTGCACTTTTCCCCTAGGTTTCGGCCTTCATGGCTTATATAGGGTTCATCATGCAAATTTTTATTGTATGTTTGAAAAGGTAAAATATGTTGGAATGAAGTGTAAATGGATTAATTGGTGGAAATGCCAAAGTTAGAAAAAATCCTACAAATACTTGCTCTATGTTGCGAACTATAGGATGTTTAGGGGTATATATATATTGGTTACATTTTATTCTAATAAAATGTGTTGCATTTTAATATACCAATGGATGAGCTAAGAAGTGAAATGCTTTGACAAATGGTTGAAAAATACCTTGAGTCCCTAAGGGTATGCCCGCGACTTTTAAAGAAAAATAGCATGATTTATGTGAAAAATTCTTAAGTAAATGCTTGATTAAATTAAAGAACGCCAACGGGTGTATAGAGGTCTAGACTTGTGTATTGGCATAGAATTGGCAAAAATATAAAGAAAGGAAAATAAGCGATAAAATGTATGCTTATGAAATAATCATGGTATTGCATCATTTTATTGATGCATTGTAAATTATTCTCTAGGTGTGCCTAGGGATTGAGAAGGATCGGAAATCTCTTGAAGCGATAAAAGTAACTTGTTCCACAAGTAAGCGTATTGGTAAAGCTTCAAGAGGTAAGCTCTATGTTTAAGGAGTCTTTTCCTGCTTGAGTGCTCCACCATGGTTAGTGAACTATGGTTGGACTGTATGACTGTGATTTAGATGCTTTGTATAGATGCTTTCATATAGAGTTATTTGATAACATGATATGTTTTGCTCTGATATGACTTCTGTAATATGATTTCTGTAACAATCTCTGGCCATTGATTGTATAGTACCCGGATGTCCGCTTTGGGGTCCTCCCTCGGGACTGATGGTGTACGCCTCTGATATGTCTGGTTCTGCTTTGGGGTCCTCCCTCGGGAACACGTGCGTTAATTTCCGCTTGGGGTTCTCCCTTGGGAATGACGGCGCACATCTCTGATATGATATGGATATATGATCTGTTCTGTTATGATATCTGTTATATGTTGTATTTGTATACTCTGTATCTGACTTTCATGCAGGAGTGAGCCAGGGTATGGAGAATTCTCTATAAACCTGGAGCTTATTGAGATTTGTAATCTCACCCCTCTTGGGGACATATTTTCAGGTGCCCAGATTCCCGGTGAGTCCTCACTAGGCAGGGACACGACACGTGGCTGAGGCAGTTGACAGATCGGATTTTGAGTGGCTGTAGGCTACTACCTTTTGGAGTGTTTGTTGTCTTTTAGTATTTCCGCATTTGATGGATCACGATATTGATCCTTTATTTTGTATATGGCCTGTATATGTTTTGTACATGTCTGTCACTTGGATGCATGTACATTTGGGTATTCAGACACGTCATATGATGATGTATTATTCAGTTTATGATTTCGTATTGGATTGCATGTTGATTAGGATAGTGGCACGGAGCCATATTTTGCATGCGCCCATGGATGGGTATCTGATTGTATCTGCATGACTGGTACTTCTGGATTACTATGCTGTATAAACTGTTTATCAGGAAATGCTTCTGAGTGGGATTGGAAAATCCCCAGTTGTCCGATTTATAGAGGAAACTCTGCCCGATTTTCGTTTACCCCGAGTAAGATTTAAAAAGAAAAAGAAAAAGTTAGCTCGTATTTTCAGAAGTTAAGTCTTCCGTTGTTTTCTGTTTTATCATATGTATGTTAATTGAACCGGCTCGAGACGAGGATGTTACAATATACAGGGGTTGATTCTTGGAACCTATTTTGAAAAAATACAATTAGAGCTTAGGAAGCTCTAACTCTCGCATAAGTGCAGAAAATGATTTTTGGCTACTTTATTTCAGTTTAAAAGGACAGTCGTAAATTTAAAAAATAGCAAAAATCAGCAATATTTCCTCTAACTAACTACCATTAAGGAATACAAAATAATTAACAATTAACTCAAATACTTGCTTGAAACCGATCATTATTAGAGTCTAACCTAATAAGTGAAAGGGGAAGGATATCAAGTTGTGTTATTACCAAGTGACTACTAATCAATCCTACCGTTAGATCGATTATATTGATTCAACAGTTATATTTATTTTCATCTTTGTATGATCATGATTTCCCAAATTTAATACTTTATATTTATTTTCACCTTTGTATTGTTATGATTTCTCATATTTAATGCTTTCACTTTAAATATGGGGAATCATGACCATACAAAGATGGAAATAAATATAACCGTTGGATCAACATAATCGATCTAACGGTGAGATTGGTAGTCACTTGGTTGTCACAGTATCATTTCCCATAATTGAATTGTAAAAAAATTCCTAACACAAACTCACGATAAGAAACAAGAATAAGTGAAATAGTAAAAAAAAAAATCCAACCTACACCATTATTACACCCTTCTTGGATATTAGAGTCTACGTGAGTTGAGCTACATTATGCAAACATTCTATAACGTATTTTTAAAAATATTTATAAATAGTAGGTAGAAATGGATTGGGTACAACCAAACCTTAGTTAACTAGACTTGGTTTTTCTCCAAAACACAAGGCTTAAACTTAATAATTTACTTAATATGATTTCTAATTAGATATTAAAATAGGCCAAGAAATATACAATTTATACAAGCAATTTGTCAGAGTCTAAAAGATTTTGACAAGAGATTTTTCCTATTCCGAAAACATACAAGTACAAGTTGTGAAAGGGTGAATTCTGTTTAGTTTATCAAGCAATTAACTTTGAAACTAGTGCTTGATAGTAAGTACAAGTCACCTTCAATAAAGCAATCATTATCTCATCCAAACTAGATATCAAGCTCTTTTTCTAAGCAACACTTGATGACATATACCTCAAGTAAAACCAACTTAATAGCGGAATGAATAGACTAATCAGGAAGAGAAGAACGGAATTGCTTTTAAGTGTAGCATGAGATGATCTTGGTTCTTCTTCTTCATGCACCAATTCCTTTTGGTACTCATCTTCACTCTCAGTGGCATAGATAGGACCAACACCTTCATAAGTGTTGAAAAACTTGGCCAATTTTTCAGAGACAGATTGTAGGCCTTTGTCCAATGATTCTTCTTCTCCATCATAATCATCATCCCCTTCAAAGATCAAATGAACCCCACATTTTTTCATCTCCAATCCCTTATCAAAAGGTGGATTTCTCATAGTCACAGATAATGTATCAGCATCTTTTAAGAAAGCTATCAACTGATGGTAATCTTGGTACCTACACAAGTGTATGTGTTCTTCATCCGTCCTTGGCACCCCACGTATATTCAAAACTGTACTAAAGATAGGTTTGTCTAGTTTGAGAACATTTACTTGAACATCAATAACTCCAGGCATTTGATCTCGCGTTATATTAGGTATATTAATGTTATGGTTTATTGAAAGAATAACACCAACAATTACACCTTTTAGCTCAAGATTTTTGGGCTTGGAAAAGGGAACAGTTTGTCCTGAAAACCATTCAGGTAATCTGGATCCTGGCATGCTCAAGTTCTGCAAATTCCTCAATGCAACCTGTCATACAAATATTCCATTGGTTACAAGCTATAAGAAGCAAAAGGTAACTTAGTCCTGGTTTATCTTTATTTATTCATTGATCAAGGGTTGAGGGAGAGAGAAGAAGAGAACAACCTTTGAAAGTCTCTTACATATTTGGGAGGAGCATGCAACGCAACCACTCAAGTACAACCTTCTCAAAGACTTCAAGCATTCAAGACCTGGAATATCCACCACTTTTACACAATTTGTGAGATTCAACTCCTGCAAACTCTCTAAATTTGACATGTCATGGATGGTTTCTAATGCAGAACAGTTTTCAACGTTCAGCTCAATCAAGCTTGAAGGAAGTGAGGGGAGAGAGATCAGCTCACAGCAGTTTGGCAGTGAAAGCTTTTTGAGAATGGAAAGGCCCTTCAAGCTGGAAGGAAGACTATGAAAATTATTTTGGCCCAAATTTAAAGTCTCTAATGATGATAACTTCTCAAAATCATCTGGAATTTTCCCAGATATTCTCCAGGCACGGGCATCTAGCTCAATTAGCATGGTCAGATTGCAGAAGGAAGATGGTATTACAAAAGAGTTGGGATTCTTTAGAGAAATGGGAACTTCAGGTTCTGCAAGCATGTTATTTTCATTTGGAACTAAATCTGGCCTCTTTGCCATTCTCAATGTTCTCAAGCTTGTGAGCATCCCAAAACTTTCAGGTAAGTCTGACAAAGCCGTTTCCTCCATAAGAAGGTGATATAGAGATTTCAAATTCCCAATAGAAGCTGGAAGCATTCTGAGCATTCTACATTTGTTCAATCTTAAGGTGACAAGATTTTCCAGCAATCCAAAATCTTGTGGCAATTCCCTGACATTTCCATTGACTAAGTTCAGTGTAGTAAGAGATGCTAGTTGGCAAATAGATTCATGTAAAGATTCAAGATGCCTACAATTCCTCATCTCAAGTTTCCTCAATAGTTTCATCTCTCCAATCTGATCTGGCAAATTTGTGATGGCTGTTCCATCTAACTGAAGCTCAACAACTGAGGCCAAATTTTTAATTGAATCAGGCAATTTACTGAGAAATTTACAGTTTCCAACTGATAACTCCCTCAGATAAGATAAAGAACCAATGGTAGAAGGGAGTTCTCTAATTGAACTGCTATTAAGCAAAAGTTCTGTCAATGATATGAGAGTTCCTATAGAATCAGGAATCACAGTGAGAGATTCACACCACATCAAACTCAACCTCTCAAGGTTTTTCAAGGATCCAATAGAGTTGGGTAATTCTTCTAATCCAGACTGATTAAGAGATAATTCTTGCAAAGAACATAGATGTCCAATACAGTTGGGCAGCCTTCTCAAATGTTGGCAACCTTCTAAAATAAGCTTTTCAAGTTTGGTCAGGTGAAAAATGGACTGGGGTAGCTCTGCTATAGCTGTGTGATCAGCAACAAGTGCTTTCAAGGATTTCAGGCTTCCTATGTTTTTAGGCAATGCTTTCAACTTCCTGCACTCAGAAAGAAAGAGGCTCTCTAGATGTTTCAGCCCAGAGACATCACTGGGAAGCTCAATAAGGTTTGTGCAACGTGTCAAATTCAAACTACGCAAGGTAATCAAACTGCCAACTGATTCATGAATCCTTGTTAGATTAATGCAGTTCTCCAGATTAATCTTCTCTAAATGTCTACATCCAGATAAATCAGGAATGGCAACAAGTTGGATGCAGTTGGAGAGGTTCATGACCATTAGTTTCTCTGGCACCTGCTAAAAATTGTGATGTTATACCATTCGATATTATAGTTCTAATAGCATTGCTTGATTTATGCATAGTAATAAAATTAGTGAAATACTAATTGCACACTTCAATTTTTATGCATTATTGTTCCTCTTTACCTGCTTGTTATTTAAAGAGTGAGAGAGAAAGCCCTATTTTACATAACCAAAGGACTTGTGAAGTATTTGTAATAACTAATGAGTGTCTTTCCTTAAAATTATGTTGAACGCATGTCCCTACTCTCAAATTATCATAAGGAGCTGTAAAAATTTTGTAAAGAAAATAAGTGTGAAGAACCAATTCAAATCAGGTTGCAATCATCTAAGTTTTTGAATTCATAATTAGATGATACACAAGATAGGTAAAACATACCTTGTAACTTTTCCATCCCCACAAGTTTTCCATTTTCTTACTGTTTGAGAGATCAAGAACAGCCAGCTCTCGAGGCCAAGAGTCCAAAGGCATGCATTCCAAAGGACATCCTCGCCACTGTAGCCACTTCAGTTCAGCTGGAAGAAATTTTCCTTCCAATCCCAGATTATTGATCTGAAGCTGTCTCAGGTTAATCATTCGTTCAAAGGATTTTGTATGAAGTATAACCTCATTGCTTTTCTCTGCTTGAGGTAGAAGATGATTCTTAAGGCTTTGTTTGATGTATCTTGAAGCATTTCCTAAACTGGATCTCCATTGAAGGTTCTTTGAAAAAACTGATTCAACCTTATTTTTATTATACCTTCTTTCCTCAAAGTCTAGGACAATTCCTCGAATCCACCTTGTTCCCTACATTAAAAAAATTACTTCAACAAATTAACATATAGCAGATAAAAATATTGGTATTCTTATCAAAATTTACGTTTGTGAATTGTTCCAATCTATAAACACCATGCAGTTCAAATGTCATATATTAAATAACAAACGAGGACACGTTAGTATAATACTAAACCCAGCAAAGGTTGTAATATAAATAAGTAGTCTCCCATTTCCACAATATTATAAATAGGCCTCAAAGGCCAATTTTGTCTGTTTATCTTATGGGTTTTCGTTTTATCCTTTAACATAACACAATAAACTTTCCTACCCTCACAACATTTTGTGGGGCCCACACTTTTTAAAACAAAAAAATAAATAAAAAATTAAGGCACGCAAAACGAATCTCTATAACATTACACAATCACTTTTCCTACAACATAACTCTTATAAAACCCTTATCTTATATATATAAATGAGTTTGATGTTTGTCATTTTAAGATAGAGTTAGACACAAAAAATGAAAATCATGGAGGAAAAAGTGGGTGATTTTTTTTAATTTAAATGTTAAATAAAAAAAACTATTTTGTGTCTATCTCTCTCTTAAAATGACATAACTTTATGTCATTTAGAATGACAAACACTTTTTCTTATATATATATATATTGGATCTATTAATCTCATGTTGCACGAGATAATTATCTCCTGCAACAGAGACAAGATAGTGGGGTCCACCATTTGTAAATAAAAAATAAAAAATAAAAAATAATATGGACCCTACTACTTTGTCTCTGTTACATGAGATAATTATCTCATTCAACATGAGATAATTATTTTCATATATATATATTCTCTTGCCCCCTCCAGTGCCTGCATAAAAGCACCACCAGCATAAGGACAGACACCTTTAGAACAAAATATGAATGAATGATTATTTTTTTGTTGAAGTGTTTGTAAGGCATTCTATATTAGCGTATCTTAGAGTCTATTAAGCAGTGTTATACGGTCCGGTTACATCATTGGTTCAACCGGTACCGGTTTTTTAAAATTAGTTACAAAATATTTTGTGCATCTGATGGGGTTCGAACCCCTTCCATTGAGGTTGTGCAACATAGCAAATATCACTAAACTACATTAAGTTATTGTTTAGATGGCACCATTTAAAATATTTATTATATAATTAAGTATAAAATATAAATGTATATATATATCTGGTTTATACGGTTCAACCAGTGACCCACCGGTTGAACCATTGACCTAGTGACCGGTACCTCGACCGGATCAATGACCGGTCGGGTTTTAATAACATTCCTGTTAAGTACCGAGGCACTTCACGTCGTATAAGTAGAATATAGTTTTTATATTTTTTCTTTTATATATTTATATATCAAACTCTGTATCTGTAACAGATCATCCATGGAAGGATCCATATATTGTGAGACAAGGGGTGTTCTGAAATGTTAATAATCCTTACCTTAACATCCTTCAAAACAGCCATGATTTCAGCACGATCCCAGAGTCTACTACGCATACCAGGATCGTCAAGGTTTTCATGTAGAACAATTTGTCTTCCCATGTCTCTTATTTGATCATGCATCCACAGGGTATTCTCTTGAGTGATTTTGATTAAGCATTTTTCCACAAGAACTGTGATAGCTATCTCTCCCCTAAAACCACAACCTCTCAATATATCAATCACATCATCACGCTTCATTCCCATTTGAACAAACAAACAAGCAATATCAAGGAATATACACTTCTCTTGATCATCCAACCCATTATAACTTATCATCAACACATCCTGAAGATGCTTAGGGCGAATTAGTCTCAGCTTTTCCAAAGCATCCTCCCATTCCTCCACCCTCCTCTTACCAAACAAAAACGAGCCAAACACTTCCAAAGCCAAAGGCATTGTTCCCGTAAGAGACACGATTTTCTTTGATAAATTCAGAAAATTTTCCGGAGGTTCCTTTCTTCTGAATGCATGGTAACAAAACAACTCCAAAGCTTCAGAATCATACAACTCCCTAACTTCATACAACTCATTGACATGACTCATTGGTAAAACTTTTGTATCCCTTGTGGTAATTATCACACGGCTTCCATCATAAAACCATTCCCTCTTACACAAAGCATCAAGTTGCTTTACATCATCAACATCATCCAATACAAGCAGAACCCGATTTTCTCTAAGTCTTCCTTTAATAACAGAAATACCAAAATCGACATCACTTATGATGGGAGCCCCTCCTCCTCCTCCAGGGAAAAGATTTTCAATGATTTTGCTTTGAAGAGAAACCAAACCATCATCTTTTGATGAAAATTCTCTCACACTTGAAATGAAGCAACGATGCTCAAAACGATTAAGAAGGTTATTGAAAAGACCCTTAGCAAGGGTTGTCTTACCAACCCCACCATACCCATACAAACCCAAAACCCTCACACCATTGGATTCAAGTTCTAACAGCTTCATCACCTTACTAACACGTTCTTCAAGCCCCACTGCAAACTCAGCCACAACCATTGGAGTATTACTCAACTCCTTCAATACCCTTTGCACCAAACGCCGAATCAGATTTTCTTTCTCACTGTCACAAAACAACAACAATAATTAACACACACACACAGCAACACAAAAAAATTAATTAATTAAAAAAAATTAAGAAACAGAGTAACAAACTTATTATCACTAGTGTTGAAAACCCAACCAGCAACTCCACCAACTTTCTTCATAGCTTCCCTCCATCTCAAAACCACATCTTTATTAAACCTTTGTTCATGGGACCTGAAACCCGGTTCGAAGGGACCCGTTTGTTTTCGGACATTAGACGGGTCGACCCGGTAGAAAACGGGCAGGATCAGCCTCCGACACTCGCAAATCTTGGCGAGCTCCTCGAGACACCAATGAGAAGAAGCGTAGTTGGGAGACATGATCACAATGGACGCTGCTGAATCATCAATGGCTTCCATCAAGCTCGGAGCTATCTCGTCGCCACGCTCCAAACCGTCGTCGTCGCGGAAGGCACGAATACCACGCGCTTCGAGGGACTCGTAGAGGCTTTTCACGAGGCTCTGGCGCGCGTCGGGGCCTCTGAAGCTCAAGAACACGTCCCATCGAAGCCTGAAAGCCCCCGGAGTCGGTGACATGATGTCAGTTTCCGGCAACGGTGACGACATCATGAGTTGTGTTCCGATGTTGTCTTTGCTTGATGAGAATGTAACTTGTGTTGTTTCTAAAATAGATAATGCATATGTTTAGTTTTTATTTTTGATTATTTATTTAAAAGTAAAGAATTACTATAACAGTAAATTTATTTATGAAAGTAAATATAGTAGTACTAGAAAGCAATTATTCACATGTAAATCTATTTATCTATCTATGCTATGGTATACATTTTATGGTTAAATGAGGTACGCGTAGTTTGATAGTACGGTGTGAGTTTGAAAAAGACAGCACTGAGAATTGAATTACATGACGTAGCCGTGGAAGAGAAGATAAAAGAGAGAGACAAAGAAAAAGAAAGATAAGGGATAGTGATTGTTAATCTGAAAAGTCTATGAGGGTGGGTATTGTATCGGTGTCTGTAGGGGGCGGATCTACACGGGAATTAGGGTGGGCTCCCTCCTCCTCTAAAATATAAAAAATATATATTTTTTATTATATGATATGCAACATGATCTGTAAAAATAAAATTTTAAAATTACTTATAAATAATGAAAGACAAGTGATACTATTTATAAAAAAAAGTGTTTCACTCGTTCATTGCACTTAATTAAAGATAACTATTATTTACTAGATTCAACCTGCTAGCATATATGGCAGGTTTTGTTCTTGGTCCCTCTCCAATCAACGCGAGAAACTTGTTTTTCCGTTGTATACAAAGAAGAATTCAGTTAGTAATGCATATTCACTATACCTATCAAATTTGTCTAGAATTTGATTTTATATTGATTGATTATCTAATTTTTTTATTAGCATTAAAAATTTGTACAGATTGTTATGTCAAAACCCAGGAGAAGAGTATTTAAGTTTTGACTTTATTAGCAAAAAAAAGATCAGTAATAATTATCAATTATTAGTTGGGACCAAATGCTAAAGATAAATAACACATTAATTAATTGACTGTGTCTTATGTTAAATAGCAGCAAAGTGAGAAAATAAGATTATGAAAAAATCAAATAAAATGCAATTACAACCCAAAAGGCATGAAGCTAAACAATAAAAAATTGATCTTACAAACAAAATATGGAGTCTTAAGACTAGTTCCTTATTGAAATAGATGATGTATTGGATCATTGTCACCAGAAGCAAAAAATTGATATTTCAACCAAAAAATAGGCAAAAAATTATGTAATTTATTAGATTCTTCTTAACAGGTATTTTTGTATTCTTAATGTAATCATCCAATCAAAGCATTGTCTTTTTATAATAGTAAAATAAATTTTTGCCCCATGTCATATAATTTTTTTAGATCCTGTTTGGATCCTCTTATTTTTAAGTTAGAAGTAACTTATAAGCTAAAGTTAAAAAAAGAGTTTAAAAAAAGAAGCTAAAAGTTATTTGAAAATTACATAAAAGTTTTAGCTTAAAAATTATTTAAAACACGTATTTCAAGAAAATTATTTCTCTCTTTATCTTTATCACTCTTTATTTAAAAAAAAGCACACATTGAAAAAAAATTAAGAGCTTGAAAAAAACTCCTGATAAGAGCTTTTAGTTTGCAGCTTTTTTTTTTCATTATAAAAAAAAGTTTTTCGTTGTAAGAGCTTTTTCAAAAACCTATTATGCTTATAAGTAGCTTCTAACTTAAAGAAAAGGAGGATCCAAACAGACACTTAAAAAATGAGAGGATCCAAGCTGACACCGAATCCGCCGTTGATTATTACTTGGTAAACCAAAAATTGGAGATAGCGTAAAAAGGCGAAAATCCTTGACCCAATACGCTGAAAGTGAAACGATAAGAAAATTCATGTTGGGTTGCCTTGACTGAGGGTATTGGGATTTGGCAGGTGGGGTGAGACGTTGAGGTTGGAATAAATGAATTTGGTTGCGTCTTAAATAATAGTGCATGAACACGTAGGTACGATGCCACGCAGAACTGACTGGAGTGTAAATGAGCCAGGCTGACCCAGCTCAGTTTACGGCCCGGCCTACATTGAGCCCGGCTCAGGTCCGACCTTTCAGAAAAGTAGAGTAGGCTTAGATTTATAAAAAAACATTTTTAACAAATAGGTCATAGGCCAATTTTGTCAAGCCCGACCTATAGCCTTGTAGTCTGGCCTATTTAATTTATTAAGATAAATAATAAAATAATATTAATTTTATGTGGCAAAGATGCAAAGTACCAAATTTCAATATCTCTTACTTTTTGTGCTATTTTATTTTATGAAAGGAAAACTTGTCTAATGTCTCCAAATTTTACATGATGTTGCAGCTTAATACCATGGAGTAGTGGGTACCTTGCTGGATTATGATGTTACTGATGAAGATCTTTCAATAATACTTTTCTTTCCCTTGTCTTGATGGTGGTTTAAAGATTTTTAGATAAATGACATTCTCTTATAGACTTTATTCAACATCCGTTAATTGTATTTTTCTTATTTTCTCCATTTCTTTGACTCTATTCTTCTATGATATACATTCTAGAGCTGGGGTATTATGTTGACTCTTTCTTGTTTGTCATTTTTTTCTTATGAGAAGTACTAGTGCATGCATGAATGAAACTTTCTTTGCTCTATACAATTATTTTTTTTGCTTAGTATCTACAATGGGAGGCCTACAAGGCCTGTAGGGCATGTCAGGCTTTCTTATTTTTAAAAATGGGCCGGACTTGGCCTACAAATAAAGCCTTTAATAAGCCAGTAGGCCAGATAGGTTGAATTTTTTTCGACACAAGCTTTGGCCAAAAAGGTCAAAGCCCAGCCCATTTACACCTCTACTCACAAGTCATTCATGACAAGCCACGCTTTGAAAAGAGGGGTTTTTCTTTTTCTTGTTTTTAACACACCTAGGTTATCTAAAGCAAGTAATTGTGATTATGATTATATTTATTGTTGATGAATTTAAACATGAAATTAGTATTTTTTATTTTTTACAAACATGTAAAATTATAAAAATGTATTGAGTCTATTTTTACTTCTCTTTTTATTTTTATGTGAGTTTATATATAACCTACACACTTTTATATATGTGATATATGAAGAACATCAATCCCTTTAAACTTAGGGAAATTATTTTCTTATATTAGATAAGATAACAAAAGTTTCCTACACATATGTAGAGAAAAGATGAGAGAAAATATAGGAGACAGAAAATATATAAATGGGTCTCATTTTTTTTATATGTGAGTGTGGAAAAATATTTTTATCTTATGTAATATAAGAAAACAATTCCCCTTAAACATATTACAATTTTGATTTATTAAAACTTAACAATGTATTACTATTTATTTATTTATTTGTGAAATAAATTTATTTTAGAAGAAAAGAGCCTTGTATAGAATAAAAAAAATTAATAATTAGCATATAATTACTTTAAATGTAAAATAAAAATGTAACATAAATATTTACGTAATTATTTATTATAAAATAATAAAATAAATATTGATTTATTTAGTTTGTACACCTACCGTGAACGAGGTATATAGCAGAATTTCATAAGTGAAACAGATTATTAATTTGATAAAAGATCTCATTTACAGTTTAATAATTCAATCACAGTCGATTGTGATTGAACCAAAATACATATTTAAGAATTTGTTTTTTCTAAAGTTATTTTAGATAAATTTGTCTAATATTATTTACCGAAATGATATTGTTTTGAGGCAAAGATCATAATGTGTTTGTAATTTTAATTTATTTCAGGGTTATAACAATTTTTATTATCTTAATTTTTTAATCTTTCAACCCAAAACTATGTCATTTTGGTGAATATTAGATAAATTTATTTAAAATAATTTTAGAAACTTTATTCTCTATATTTAAAGGGATTACACGTAAAAGTATGTGGGGTCTATTTTTTCATTTTCTTTCTTCTTTTCAGGCAAAAAAAATATTAAAAAATTGCAATTAAATAAATAATTATAAATTTATAGCTATTTTTATACTATTTACGAATATATTGCAAGATATCACGCCTTAACATGTATACTTTTATATATAAAATTAAAAATATTAATCTCATATTTAAATATTAAATATACTATGCATCTCATAAGCACGGAGACACGATTGTTTAAAAAATTTGGGTGTCGGACACGTGTTGAGCACCGACACGTTCCGACGCGCGGTCAATATTTTGAGACATACGATTAACTTTTTTTGACATACAGTCAACGTTCCGACACGCTCCGATACTTTTTTTTTTTAAGTCTTAATTTTATTTTATTAACTAAATATAAAAAAAATAATTTATAAATCATTTTTTTAATGAAATTTGACATGAAAAATTAACAAAGTACAAAAAATTATTTTTGTTTATATTTATGCTATAAAATTTGAATATTTGATTGATTATGTAATTTATTATGGACTATTATATGTATTAAATATAAATTATATTATATATATTAAATTTTTTATTTAATATCAAAATGTGTCACAACATATCGAAATATAACATCTTTTAAAATTAATGTTTCGATGTATCATATTATATCATGTCCCATATCTCATCTCGATGTTGGTGCATCGTAGCAATGCATTGCCCAAAAGTCCAATGACTCAACAGTAGTTACAGAATAGTGGTGGTCTAGGACATCTCAATAACAAGGATTCATTCATGCTTTAAAAAAAGAAGAAGGATTCATTCAATGCTTAATTTATTGTTTTAAATTACGATTAATAAATCATAAGTAAACGTAGTCGTAATTGTCATAAAAGAAACTTTTTAATTATAATATTACAAACACTAGTGATTGCATATTACAATTTAAAAACATGACTAGTCAACAAGCTCATGGAAAAGTTACTAGAATACCCCGCTATCAAGTATCAACCAATTACAAAAAAGAAAGAAAGAGGAGTTTACTAGACTATATAATTCTTTTTAGTTTTCTTATAATATATCGTCACTCTTCTAAGTAAAAAATAATATCTCAAGTTAGAGGTCAAAGACAAGAACCCCTCTTTTCAAGGGTATTTTTTTTTTTTCATATACATAATTTTAGAATTAAACTTATTACTATATGTTTACAAATTAAATCTCTTTTTACTCGTACCTACATGACATTAGAATATTTAGTTGTTTCAAACGGCTCCACATCACGAGTCATTCTTTGGCTAGAATTTAAAAATAAAAATAAATTGACATTAGTGGCCCACATGGCCTTCACTAATTTGCATTAAGCTGAGAATAGGGATTGGCAAATGATGTTCTTGTCTTATTGAGGTCTAATATAAACAAGAATATCTGTCATAAAGAACACAACACACATAATTATATTTGTCAAAATTCTAAAAAATAATATGAATGTGTACTATGTAGATTGACACGATTCAAATAACCAATTAACTTGTGTATTGATCTAGATCTGATATTATATGAGATAAAAGCCCAATTCAGAAAAAGTCCAATAAGCTCAGGAACTATTGCTTAACTTAGGGTAGCAATTTGGGTTGGCCCGTCCCGACCTGCCACCAACCCGCCAAAAACGGGCGGGACGGGTTGGCCTGCCATTGAATATGGGTTGAAAAATTGAACTCAACCTGTTTTACGATGGGTTGGCGGATCAATCCACCAACCCGCCAATTAAAAAACATTAATTAAAATTTAAAAAAAATAATATTTTATGAATTTTTTAATATTATTTTATCTTATTTCACACATCTCTTAATTTTTTTCAGTCTCAATCTTAAATGTATACTAATATTTGTCAAACATTCTTTAGGAACTCATTTGTCTCCATATATAGATAACATTTGTCATAAATAAAATTGTTATTCTTTATCTTTTCCAGGAAGTATTAAGATAAAAAAATTGGATATCACAAAAATTTAATGACAAATGAAATACTACCTAATTGTAAAAAAAAAAAAAAAAAATATAACCCGACAGGTCAACCTGCCCCGCGGCGGGTTGAACCCGTTTTGACCCACTTCTAGACGGAGCGAGTTAAGTGGATTGGTGAGTTGAAAATTATGGAAATTACCTTGATTTGGTACAATCTTTTACCAAATGAAATTAAGTGGATTGTAACATTTTCGTTTTGACCCACTTCTAGACGGAGCGAGTTAAGTGGATTGGTGAGTTAAGTTGATTGGATATCACAAAAAGGTATCATTTTCATTTGGTACATTGAATAAGGAAACGGAATAGGTAATTTCATAAAAGATTGAACAATATCACTCTTCACCCACGGCTTTCTAACCATTTTACCCTTTATTAATTAAAAAATAACAACTTTGCCCTCATTTCAATACTATACACTTATGTGCCCTTGTTTTAATATTATACACTTATGTACCCTTGTTTAATCGATTACAAAATACGTTTAATCGATTAAGTGTAAAATAAAAAATATTATAATCTGCTTTCAGCGTATCGCTTTTTTTCTTTCTGCGAGTAGAAATTGCAGGGCCCTCCTCCTGCTATGTGGTAACATGGCACCATAGCAGGAGTAAGTGGTACATTTTGCATCTATGTTCTCTTCTCCAACTACTCCTTTCTTTGGATTCGAAAAGACAGAATCATGGGGAGAATCGAAAGATTTTTTTTACTTGGGGAAGAGCGGGTGAGAGCTTCAGCCACAGCCACGCTAGTGATGTTAGCTGGAATATGGTTCTTCTTGTAGAGGGTTTGGAGCTCCTTCCATGATTGAGGAGAAAAGATAGATCAGAACAAAAAAACAAGGTGTTTTGGGTTTTGGATGAAATGAAAATCGAAGAAGGCGACGATTAAGTAATTGATTAAAAAACCATTGGGATGGATGAGAAGATATGAAAGCTGTTGCACATGATGTTTCGATTCCAGGATATAAAAGCTTTTGAATCCAAGGGAAGTTTAAGAAGAGAAAACGCATGCAAATGTACTAGTTACTCCTATTATGGTTCCACGTAGCAGGAGGAGAGCTGCTGCCGTTTCTACTTGCAGAAAGAAAAAAACCAAGATGCTGGACGGTGATGATAATATTTTTTCGCAACTTAATCGATTAAATATTTTTTTAATCGATTAAATAGGGATAAATAGATATATAATATTAAAAAGGAGGTAAAGTGGTTATTTTTTAATTAACAAGGGGTATAAGGGTCAAAAAGTCCCTTTTTGTTGGTATTGTTAATTTTCTAATTAATGGATTAATAGTTTATGGGTAAAATAGGATAAGATGAAGATGCGACATGTAAATTACTTGAAAAATTTAACTACCAAAAATGAAAATATTTGTAGGGAAAATGGATATTGAATGTCTTATTTTAATATGATTATATTATGTAAAAAAATTTAATTATTTATTAATAAATGAATGGTCATAATTTCAATGATAAAGTTCTTAAAATGGTGAAAAGGAAATATATTTTTTAATTGCTGAATACTGATTTATATAAAAAAATTACCAAAAAAATTTATATGAGCATGATAAAACACAACATAATTTATTCCGGAATATATAGAAACAAAGAAAAAGAAAATCGCGCATACCAAAATAAAAATAAAAATCGCAGATGTAGTAATATAGTAATTACTACAAGCAATAAATGCCTGACTCATTACCAAAGTCAGAAACCAATTGTAAATTCTAGACCTTCTCACTATTAATGACATTTGTCTTGATATCCATAAAAGATATATAAATAGACTCTGATATTAGGGTAACTGAATAACAACTTATTCTCTTCAAAAGAGCTTGAAAATTGTGAAAAATGGCCATTCTATTATTCCTCAGCTTGTGTTTAGTAACCAATACTTACAGAGTTGGTGCTACATTACCAATATCAAGAACAGAAGAACTTGAGGAGAGACATCGGAAACTCATCCACAAGCCTCCAATTAGGAGTATCCAAGTATTATTACTCTATACATTCATTCTTATTTAAATTCTCTTAATTTGTTTAGTTTTGATTTTATTAAAATATATGGTTTGTGGTATCTACAGACAGAGTTTGGCTATACCATTGATTGTGTTGACATCAATAAGCAGCCAGCTTTTGACCATCCTTTATTAAAGAATCATAAGCTTCAGGTACTTCATCATAGTCTCGTGTCAAAATTTGCAATTACCTTGTCATGTATTATATCACAGTCATTTATATATTTACATATTAATGGTCCAACTATAATTTATTATATTTCGTAGAACGAGAAATTACTTTAATCAATGACCGTTGATATGTGAATGGATGGCTGCGATTTAAGACATGATAAGGTTATGTTAAATTTTGACATCATAAGAGATTCCTGATCTATGATAAGAGAGATTTCTAGGGTGATTAATATGCTCTTAACTACATTTTTTTATGTATGTTTATATAGAGAAAGCCTACTTTTCTACAAAGAAGGTCAAGAACAAGTGAACATGTTTTACCAACTAGAACCTCAGTGTTTGAGCTTGAAAAAGACTCGTGTCCAATAGGATATGTTCCTATTCGCAGAACAACCAAAGATGAACTTATTCGAATGAAATCCTTGTCTGATTATACTTATTATTCACTGGTTCAAGGTGCCCCTGGTACTCATGTAAGTTATCTTATTTACATTGCTTTTATTCATTGTGGACTGCTATAGGTATATACTCAAATTTGGCCGAGTACGGAAAATTACTCTTGCGTGGATGAATACTTGTAATTGCTACGTTTTTTTTCATAGTTTGCAGCACTCTACACGAAGAAACGGAATAATAATTCTTATGTTGGAGTTAATGCCCACATTAATGTTCATAATCCAAGGGTAAAGAAGCACCAAATGAGTTGTGCACAAATAGCGGTTCAAAATGGTGAACATGATGGAATTAACACAATCCTTTTCGGATGGCAGGTAATTTTGAAATTGCTTTGTTAATTGGGGTAAAATATTGTATCAACCAATTACCAATCAATTTTACCGTTAGATCGATTATGTTAATCCAACGATTATATTTATTTCCATCTTATATGATTATGATTTTCCATATTTAATATTTTATATTTATTTCTACTTTTGTATGATTATGATTTCACTTATTTAATGTTTTCACATTAAATATATGGAGAATCATAATCATACAAAGATGAAAATAAATATAACCGTTCGATCAACATAATCGATATAACGGTGAAATTGATTGATAGTAATATTGGTAGTAATGTTGTTACAATATCCTACCCTTGTTAATTTTAAAAAATTACCTACTTAATTATTAGTCACACACAAGTATATATAAATACAATTAAAAAGATTACCAAAAAAAAAATACAATTAAAAAAATATTTTATTACTGATATTAATTACTAGCTCATGTTCAACACCTCAAAATTAAATTCTCACTATTTTCGATTGTAAGGTATATAGGGTAGATATCTCAATCTGTCTAGCCATAGATACTAACTCAGGAAACAATATTTAAAATTGGGTTAATTGGAAGTTATGGAAATTGTTTTTGCCTCAAATTGGGTTAAATTTGTTGATATAGATGCTGCTAATATTTCCATTCTTCGGGATGGTACAGGTGTCCCCACACCTATATGGTCGGAAAAGTACACACATGTTCGCACTATGGACGGTAAAAGAATAAATAAAAAACCTTGACTCTTTTGTCATAAATATTTATTTATAGTATGATTCTTTAATACTACATTGGCATTTGAAAGTTTTATTAGTTTTTTTGAGACTGATAACTTGTTTGAAAATCACAGTCGGATGCATTCAAGAAAACGGGATGTTACAATATGCTGTGTCCAGGTTTCGTACAGATTGACAGAAATGTCTTTCTTGGAATCGGTGTGAGAAATATTTCAGATTACGGTGGACAACAATTTGAACTTCCTTTATCAATTTTACAGGTAGAAATCTTTTTATTTATGAAAAGATTATCAATTCTGCCTACCATCATCAAGCATTGCTACATAATTTAAAACGAAGCACATGTATATTTATGAGATAAAATATCATACTTATTTTTTTCATATCTATAACGATAAAGATTAGTTGAAATTGTAATTAGTAATGTTGGAGATAAGCAAGTAAAATAGGCATAATAAAATATAAACATAATATCTTATTTCTTTATTTATTTACAATACAAATAAGCATATGACTATAATACATTTCATGTGAGTTTGATAAATGTGTTTATCATAATGTCTGTATAAATTCAAGTATTTTCCAGCAGTTTTAAGTTATACCAGAGATATGATATGTGCAAATCTTGTGCTCTAATTGCAGGACTCAAATTCTAAAAATTGGTGGTTAATAGTCAATGACATAAATGTTGGATATTTTCCAGCAGCATTATTCTCTAACATGTCTGTGGCTGATTTAGTTGGGTGGGGTGGCCGAGTTACTGGTGTTGTGAAAGGAACAAGTCCGCAAATGGGATCTGGGTACTTCCCGGATGGTGATTTGACACATGCATGCTTCGCCAGAAGAATTTCATATAATGTACCTGAATCACTTCAAGAACCACAGAAGAATCCTCTAGAAATATATGTTGATAAACCTCATTGCTATAACCTTACATATTTTGGGTTTTTTGATGACAACAATCGATACACCTTTCAATTTGGGGGCCCCGGAGGGGATTGTGGTATGTGATGTATATTTACATAATGCATGGGACTTCATAAGAAGTCCAAGAAAAATGAAAACAGTGTAATAGCTAGATGGTTGTTGGGTCTTCATTCTAATTATTAATCCAATAAAATGGCACAACATATTTGTTGGCATTGATGTTTTTTGTACATAATAGACTCAGGAGTAGATTCTCATGATAATGGGTAAAATCTACACTGTAAGTGGGTTCAGAGAAGGAAATGGTTTTGCATGCAAAAATTTAGTACTTGGGAAAACAACTTGCAGAAGAGGATGATCCTTGGACCTTGGTACATTACCGTTGCGGTTAATTTTCGGGGGGAAAAAATTATGGTTATGGTCAATGTTTCGATGTCATGTTATTGAATCGAGGTAAACCGGTTTGCCCGGCCAGTTTTCTTAAAAAACCAGCGACTTTACCGATTAATATAAACCATTTGATCTGCACTTTTCCATCCGTATATAAACAATGGGATATATTTTTCTTATGTTGTAGGAAAAGAATTACCTCATGTTGTAGAAATAAAAGTATAAGTGGAACCCACGTGTAAGAGGAGAGAAAAAAAAAAAGTAGTGGGACTCAATTCCTTTTTGTGTGTGTAGGAGAGATGTTTATCTCATGTAAAATGAGATAAACATAACCCATAAACAATCTACTTTATTCTGTTTTGGTTGATGTGGTTTGTGTAAATGCATCTAGCAGCTCGCTGTCATCTTCCAAGGCTTCAAGAAAGAATCAGTTCTAGCTCCTTTTGCAGCAGCAAACACATGATTCATTTCGTTTTTCTATTTGCACCATAGTTTCGAACTGCATCATGATTTCGTAACAAAAAACATTACGAATCTCTTCCAAAACAATCCTGTGGCATTGGAACCATTCATGGTCTATCACTTATCAACATGACATAATGAATCTCTTCTACTATTCAACTTAAAAATTAAAGTAAATCACCCTTTTGGGTCAGCCACAAAAAATACACAATCTATTTTAGCTTCCTAGGAAGAAAAAAGAGAGTACATTTTGTGGTCATTCTGAAATTCTAGTTCTTTGAAATAATTCATAATCTATTGTGATGAAATTCAAAAAAGATCCAGTCTTTCAAAAAGAACTAATATGAATACTTTTTTTTTTAAGGATTAAAATAAGTTTTGTATTTTTTGTTGAAGACCTAAAAAGTCATTTACTCTAACAATTATTTTTCAAAGCCTTGGGATTGGTCTAATAACGAGGGGACTGGATAATTTACACGAGTTCATAGGTACATTGCCTTATTATATATAAAAAATAAGGAAAAATATTTTCTCATATGTTACATGATAATTCAATACTCCTGTTGTGACCTTTAGATTTGCGTGCAATTTTTTTTTTCTTTTTTATTTTTTAATAAATGTAGGGCCACCACAAATTTAGCCACAATATGAGAATTCAATTCTCATGGAACATGAGAAAATCAAATCCTAAAAAATAAATTATTCTTCTCTTCAACTTCAAAAATTACTTGCAATACATGACCCAGCCCATTTGATAAGTAACCAAATACCTTCAAGCCCATGACAAGGATAAGTAAAATAAGCCAACTTTTTTTTTTTTTTTTTTATAACAAAATAAGCCACCTTTATGTACTGTATTTGCTCATTTTCGGTAGCAAGATTTGAGACAGTGCATCATTTGATAATTATATAAAAACTGTGTTATTGATATTATTATTGCCACTTTATGTTTCTCATCAAAGCAAATCATTTATTTGGATGCATATTTTCTAGATTAAAACATTTTTTATTTTAATACTTTCTTTATAGATCTAATTTTATCACTTCAACTAGTGACTCACTTATTTAACAAGTGACCTATCCTGATTGAGAGTGAATTTTCTAACATTGGTTATGGTGATGTGAAAAAAAATTTTATGAATTAATTCGTTCATTGCTTTACAGATATTTTATTACCATAAGTAGAATTCGATTAATAAATTAAATATCACATAAATAGTTATTGTTTAAATGTCATACATAGATAATAATAATAATAAAATGTGAAATATCATATAACTAATAATAAAAGGGAGATATGTGTGGACCATCTCTTTGTGTCTATGAAATACAACTTGTATCATTTAAAATGATTTACACTTTTCTTATAATAAAATCAGTAGAAACAATGATTAAGATATATCATCTTCCAGAAATAAGAAAACCAGATGAATTGTGTCGCACTCGCAATCAGGATTTGTGCTGCAAGGATATCAGCAGATGTCGCGAGCTCTAGAAAATTCATCCTGTTTTAGAAAAGGTATAATGTCAACCAGAATAAGTCTTGGGAAAATGTGCTTATCAGCTCAAGACATGACTAATTAAAAATAATTAAAACTACTAACTGAAAAAAATGGCTAAACAATCATTTAAGAGATGGGTAAGTTATGTATTGCTTCTTTTGCAAGAAACAATGTAAAACAGAACCTTTATGTTAGAAATTAAACCAAAAACAAAATTCTCATAGTATCAACTTTTTCCCAACACAAAAACATAATCAAAACATAAATATAATAGCCAATTCATAGATTAAACAGCGGAATCAAAATTAGAAAGAAAAAATAATCAAAATCAATGTAATTTAATACCCTTTTCAAGAAAATATTCAAGAACAAAATCAAACAAAAATCTAATGATTCTTAGACCCTAAACAGATTCGATATAACATGTGTAATCCACAAAACAAGCTATAAGCATTGAAATCAAAGAGATAAGGTTTAGGAAGAATGAACCGGGATATATCTCGATTCTCTTTCTAACCACTTGAGAGCTATATCCAAACTGAGATTGAGCGTTTCACTATTATCAAGCTTCCAATAAGTGCTTGAAGAAATCTTTTTACAACTGAAATTTTATAAGTCTATGACCATACCTTGATCACACTCAACCCAAGTCCCTTAGAATCACTCCAATTATCTCACCAACAATTACAGCAACACAAAACATCCAAACAGATGTAGGGTAGTCTCTGTTGGGTATGGCTCATACTTCGCATGCTGATGAGGGCTCTAATTATTGGGGTCAGCAGAAAGGCAACTGGGGTCCCGTAGAGGCTAGGTACTATTGTGGGCCTCTGTTTTATTGTAATTTTCTTAGCATTTTGGGCTTAGACCCATGAATAGCTGCTGTTAGGTTTTTCTAATCTTATTTATATTTTTCTTGTAAACCGAGTGACTTGTAACGAGTGGCGGTAAGGTGAATATAGTACAGACAAGCTGGACGTAGCCTAAATTGGGTGAACCAGGGTAAATCGCTGTGTCTATTCTCTCTCTCTCTCTTTCTTTTTCTTTTCTGGTTTCGATTTGTGTGTTGTCGATTTCCAACAGTCTCCTCATGTTCAGAATTATCAAAAAAAATTATGAAACGATAGAGTAATTGAGATTCTCCTCAAGAATATACAAAACTAGCTCAAATGAGGTCAATTTCTGAATTCTGTGTGTTCTAAAGTTTTTCAATGTTAATTCTTATTCAGAAACCCTTGTAATATGTTTATATATTTGTCCTATTAAGTTATTAACTGTTTATAGTCGTTGGACATCTAAAAATTTGAATTACTTAAGTTTTAAGCCACTTATGAGCGTGAGTAATCGATTATTTTTCATGGGGTAATCGATTACTTCTTCAAAGACTTCAAGTAATCCATTACTGTTCATAAGGTAATATATTACTTCTTCAAGAAATCCAAGTAATCGATTACTTTATATCAGAAACTTAGGGCCTCTTTGATTGTGTTCTGATTTTTTTGTTCTTAAAACTGTTTTGTAAAATAGTTATGGAAACAATTGTTTTCTATATTTTTTTCTTTTTGAAAGTTAAAAACCAAAACAGAAAACAAAAACAACTCAGACATGTTCTCTAAATATGATTCTAAAAACAAAAAAACAGTTATAGTTTTCAAAACATTTTTTTACAAAACAGGTGCTACCAAACAAGTTTTTTTGTTTTTTTGTTCTGAAAACTAAAAAACTATTTTTAAAAATAATAATCAAACAGAGCCTTAGTTTTCTGCTAGTTTTTTGAATTTAGTGAATCTGAGTGACTTTTAAATGATTCCTAGTGACATCCAGCATATGTATGATCATGTTTCATACTTATATAACAACTCTTGATGTATGTGTGCTCTTGTATGCAAGATCAAGGTGTATGTATCACTAATGCATAAGTTTATGACCTATTAATGCAATCCTCAAAGTAAAATTCAATAAACTCATTTTTATAAGTTCTAAGATTTTAAAATAACTATTACAAACAGTAATGACCACGTCTTCTTTGCTCTTCACTTTGTCTTCAATCTTTAAGCCTTCTTGTACTTGTATAAGCTTTAAATCTTTGACTTCAAGTTTGACTTTGCACATTTGGGTATCTTTATCAATTTTGCACTTAGTTTTGGGCTTCTAGTACCATTTATAACTTGTTGCCATGCCTTCCATTGAGTGCATCCATGTTGAGGTATGTTTGTCCTTTGTAGATGTTTTATTATCATCAAAACTCCAATATCATAGTCTTTATGACGTACGGTTCAACACTAACTACTAAAATGATTGATTAACTATAATTAATAAAAAATTTAAATTACTAACTAACAAATTAATCATTAATTAATAAATGATTGATTTATAATAATAAAAATAAATTAAAATTAATAAGTAGCTAATTAAACAATAATCACTAAATGATTAATTGATCATAATAACAACTTATAACTAAAAATTGAAACATTAGTTACTAAATGACTAAATTAATATAAGCAAAATTAGTTAATTTGTAAAAGAAGAACTTTGACACTAACTTGGAGGAGAGTATTAAGGGTTGGAAAAGTTCAACGTTAGATTGAAATTAAGGAAGGGGTAGGGATAGGAAAAGACTAGGGTTGGGCTGACAGAACGTACGTCACGTGAAAGCAACCACGTAAAACGCCCTAGATCTAGATGATCAAGCATGTTCGAAGGGAGAAGATTTTCCGTGGGACGGGA